TAACAAAAATATTTCTTACATAGCCCCCCACCCCCTTACAAATTACAATTTGATGCCGACGCCAATGGTTCAAGTAGTGTAAGTGGGAGTGTTTGAAAAGAAAATAGTAAAGAAAAAGTTCGATCTCCCCCCCCCCCCCCCCCCCCACACACACACACACACACTCACACACACACACAATAGTATTTAAGGATTTTGGACAATGAACAAAAAATTTTCCTTTTTTCTGTTTTTTCAGGGCTAATTTTTTTCTCTCTTTCAATTAGCCCCACTCCCATCGTCGCAAGCCACTTGTTTTGTGTCCATTCTATTTCCACAAACAAAACCCGTGGCTTGCGACGATGCCCCACTCCTTACTTTCAATTTCCTTCCGACGCCAATGTGAGGGGAGGTGAAAAGGAGGGAATTGAACTGGCTATTCAAAGCATATACTCAGAACTTGTAACGGTCTTGAAGCGAATTATGAAATCAATTTGAAAACTCTCTCTAAAAACGGCTACTGAGTATATTATTGATCGCGTTGATGATAAGGTATTTTGTATTTCAGTGTGTGTGTGTGTGGGTGGGGGGGGGGGGGGTATCTGTTATATTATCAGTTACGTGTAATGGTATAGTGAAAAATACAGAATGAATCAATAAAATATCCTGATATTATGAGAGAAGAAAAGGAGAAAAGGGATTTTTCAACAAATATTTGGAAACAAAATGAAATTAATTTTAAACTTGGTTTCATTTTCTTTTCTTTTTTTAATCAATATTTTTCTTCGAAATGATAGAGGTTTACAGCAGTTTAGTATTTTTATAGAAAAAAATTGCCATTTGTTATTTTTTAATGCAAGACTGTGGCTTATTTAAGTAACCACAAACAGAGATGGAATTGTATTAAATGGTTTAGACATCGGGATCGAGATGCCTTTCATATCTCGATACGGATACGGATACGTATACTTATACGGATACGTCAGATAGAACAATCTCTATTACTGAGGTTTGTTCCGCCTGACTGACAACTGTACATATGATTGTTACGATTTGACATCCCTGTAGTTTTTCTTGTATCAAGAAAAGGCATGCATAAATGATAGATAATTGAATGAAAATACATAAGTCTATTAAAAAAATTAAATTGTCTTTGAAAAGGTGAAATTTAAAACTTTAAAAGTGTGGTACCAGGTGGATTCGAACCTGCGACTTTAAAAAGAAGAACTTCACGGAGTGAAACCAACTCATCTATCAACTGAGCTAGTCCGTCTATAATATTGATAGGTATAAATTTGAAGCAGATTTTCAAAATCAGGTTTCCTTATTTTTTTGTAGGTTTTTTGGGAATTTCGACCCTAGGGCAGGGGTGCCCCTAAAAAATCCTTTCTTAAATCATTCCTTACATCATAACCTCTCAAAATATCACAATTTTATTTAGGGGCAGGCCTGCCCTGAAGGACTTCTAGGCCAAAATTCATGCAAAAATCAACGCTTTAACGGACAAAGTGGTGTTTCAGCCAACTTTGGAAGTTTATCGTTAAGTTGTAAATAATAAATTTTAAGTATGAAATACAAATTTGAAAAATAATACGATAGAAAACAACAAATAAAGATTAATATTTAAATGTCACTTTTTCCAGGAAATTGTTCTCTCCTATAGGTCAATTCTTTTGTCGAAGCGAATACATCCTTTACCATACTATAATTCGGCCGGGATACACACTGGAGTATGAAGATAGATGAAAATAAAATTAAAATTTTGACAATAATTCAGATTTGAAAGATAAATCAAAGGTTTATTTACACATTGACAAATAGTAGACCACACATGTGAGGCATCTTTCGTCTTGTCAATAACGTAGACAACATTAGAGGATTTTCAGTTAACACTTTAAAAAGTTTTTGTATAGAAGTTTTTTTCATTAAGATTACTTGTGAAAGATGTGTTAGTTATCAAAATATAAACGCAGATTTAACAGTTCTTTGCCGAATATTTTGAAATAAAAGACAAAATGATCGTCGTTTAATTAGAACATTATAAAATATCGTTTATTCATATAAATTATTAACAAAACTAGAGCCGAGCTCGTTGAGCACTGCTTGTAAGATAATTAAATGAAAATCATTTATTTGTTTAAATTAAAGAAGGCATTCAGACCGAATATAATGTCTATCTGTCTAAAGCATTTTATTATTGAAAGCTTCCAATGTTCGTGAGAAAAGCAATAAAGGACACTTCCGGTTTGACCAGAGGTGAGCGAAATCGACAGAAAATAAGGTTTGATGTCTTGGTTGAAGAAAATTATTTGATTTTGTATTAATATCAAAGTTACTTCCAGTTAAGCTGGAAAATGTAAAACAGAAGTTTTAATAACGAAAATCGACAGGAAAATCAGTTAAGACCGCGGAACATTAACTGGCAAAATTGGAAATATACAGCTTAAGTCATTTCTATCTGTTACAATCAAAACAGTCAGTGATAGACAATGAAATGGGCGGGTACAATTCGACGCGGACGTAGAGAAAACATCGGATTGAAATTGCAGATCGAAATTCATTTTCAATGCACCTCAGCAACCCTAGAGGGCGCATTATTACTGATTGACCCAGAAGACAAATAATTTCAATTTTTACATTTTGATTTTTTTGCCCAGTGTTTTATATAAATTAATATTTAAGGGACAAATATTTTATTTCTGTTTGGTAAATATATGTATATCTTTGTGTGTGTGTGTTGTGTGTGTGTGTGTGGGGGGGGGGGGGGGGGGGCTGAACGATTTTTAAATAAAGTTGTCCAACAGTTTTCAGTGAGAATAAGTATAAAACTCATGCACTCTTATAATCCTAGAAATAAAATATATTGTCATGTTAACCCATGACCTGACTCGACAATTTTTTACCCCCCTGTCTTCCAGAATCAAATATCTCCTGAAAAATAATCTTTGTCTTGTATGATCTTTGCGTTCTTAAAATCATAAGCTAAACCTCATATTTATGTGAACTTCAAACAATAGGTATTTGGGAATTAAAATAGAATTAATTTTTGGATCATACATTCACTCTTTGCTTTGAAAAAAGCTCAGGTGGATTGAAAATGAATTTTGATCTGCTATTTCAATCCGATGATTTCCCCACGTCCGCGTCGAATTGCACCTGCCCATTCCATTGTCTTGATTGTAACAGATAGAAATGACGTAAACTGTATATTTCCAATTTTGCCATGGCCAGTTAATGTTCCGCGGTCTTAGACGTTTTCTATGACATGTTTAATACAGTTCCATGCTCAACAGTGTAAAAAGTTGAAATTTTGGACTACTTCCTGTTTGGCCGGAAGTTACGTCATTTGACTTATTTTGGGGATATAAATAGCTGCAACTTGTCAGATTAAAGAACTTGCTTCTTTGAAGCATCACAAAGTCCTAATACTATTTGAGATACGGGAAAAAAATGCCCCACTAGATCCCAGATCCCTAATGTTTAAGAGCCAGCTCCATTTTTGAGATGTCAATAGAAAGATCTTGTTATTGTGCACTAATTTCGTTCTTTATTTTTAACAACATATTAACAAGTTAAAAGATATCGTTTTCAGGCCATAGCGAGCGTTAACGTGCATCGCTTCCGGTGGAAGTAATCTATGTATTACAGATTATTATATGTTGCATTATCTTGCCGAACAGTTCAAACTTCCTGTGGTATTTGAAAAATTGAGGACATACTGACCCTCCAAAAATCATTTTATTGCGAAAATACGTCATCAAATTAAAAAAAATGTATTAAGATTTTCTAATGTTCTATCAGACCTGAAGGTTTCATGTAAACCGAAAGAGCCGTTTACGAGAAATCTCGGGCATATACAAAATCTGTAAGAAAATAATTTTTTTAAGAAAAACAGTCAAACAGAAAACTAAGAAAAACAAGAAGGTCTTCTATTTTCTCTTCCGCTGAAGAAGGAAGACCTCTATAATAAATAAGATTTCTTTCGTTTGAGGAACGAATTAGACAGAAATCAATTTCTACTTGATGTGATAATGAATTACTTTTTCGGAATTACAAGGTTTTCATTTGAATATCTGGTGAATATCACGTGGTTCTTTAGAACCGGTCTCGTTAGCAAGGCTATATAAGAGGTAAATAGTGGTTTAAATACCAGTTTACGACGACGCGTAGAGCACGATAAAGTTTAAATTTTGTCATGATTTATTCAATCCAACATAAACTTGTATATACAAATTGATTTTCTTATTTTGCATATGTTCTGTACACTGTACAAATAAAGCTACTGCGTGTCGTTGCTATGTCCAAATGATGTGTTTGTTGTTTATTGTACTTTCATTTGAAAGTAATGAATGGATTTAGAGGAGAATTGTAGCAGTGACCTTTACTAAGATGTCGTGTATTTGCGAGTTATTTATAAATGAAATCATAGTTGAAGCTATAGTCATCTGGATAAAACTTTTTAAATCGAAAAAAACAAATACAAAATTTCCTTGTTTATGTATTTTTTATTCGTGACATAAATATATATAAAACATCAAGTACTTGTTTTATAATATCGGGAAAACATACTCGTAAACTATTTCCTTGTTCATTGGTGAAATTATTGAAATATTATAAGACTATATTTAAGAAATGAATTTAATTTTTGAAGATTCATGAGGTTATGAACTACGACGCTTCACGCCGGCATATTTCATGAAGCGCGTTAGCGCTTCATGATCAATATGCCGGCGTGAAGCGTTGTAGTTCATATACCTCATGAATCTTCAAAAATTAAATTTATTTCTTATATTTACATTACTTATCTGATGACTTGCCAAAAATTTACGCCGTTCAACTGTCATTTTTTAAACAAAACAGTGTGCACTATATTTTTTGACTTTTTGACGTGAAGAGCGGTATGATGACGTAACAATGGATGTATTCATGCTTATTCGTGATACGTACCTATTGTAGTTCATGAGAAAACATACTGCATTTTATTTTGTAAAGAATCATAGGGGAAAATTATTGGAAAATTGAACTTGCATATTTTGGTGATTTCAAACTAAAGGTAAGTTATTACAATGTAAGTGATCATGACAGCGCCTAGAGTCCCCTTAGTATTAAAGCCCATCGAAAGACCCGTAAGTTTATCGATAGAACAGTTGCTAACTATATAAGACGTCTAAAGTTTGACGCGGCGCCGAGCATTGAATCGAAATCCGTGCCTCTTAATGATAAAGTGAAGGCTCTTCTAATTCGACACTAGGCTACCACGAAGTATACATGTATATTTGAGAATAATTACATTCAGTGTTATTTTCTTTACGAAATCCATTAGAAATCTTTTTCGTTCAAATCTCTGAATTAAAACATACATGAAATTTGTCAACGCGCGGTAGAATACAAGTAGGAAGTATACTACTTCCATTTCATTATCTAGGAACAACAAAATGTATTTTGTTTTGACCCAATTTAATTACAAGAAAACATATACCCTTTTACATTAACGTAAAATATAACAGTTGTGCGTTAACAAATAATGAACTATTTTTTCTCGCAATATTTTTTTGCGTTATTTAATATTCCAACGTCACAAACGATGGTTGCGTTAAATAAGCACACCAGCACCGAAGGGCGCTAAATCCACACTAGACTAACTGACGCGCGATTTTAAATTTATCGATAGGCGAGGTGTGTTATAGGACCGACAACATCCACAAATATGATTTCATTGCTTTAATAAATGTATGTAAATCATTTTATTCGAGAGAACCTTATTTTTCCGTAATTTGTCGAGTCTTCTATTATTTTAGCGTATATTTTACTTGTATGGAATATATCACTATAATCTTGGTGCTTATAAATACCATGCAAATACAAGTAGCTACCCCGCGAAAATAGGGTGTAGCGATTATATAATAACAGTATGTTAAACTTGTTGCATGCAGTAATGTGTATTATTTAGTTGTAAACGCAGTGCATATGCATATGTATGCTATGTTACAACGCCCTTTGAATTAAATTAGGAACTTAAAAAAAATAGATGTGCTTTAACCAAGTTTTCTTCTACATAGAAAGGTCTTTTCCTAGCCTTACCTCGCTTGCAATCACATTCAATTCGGAATTACTCTGAGTTTATTATTAAAATATGCTTGAATTTCCCATTGGGGGTATACTGTATTACCCTTGTGTGTCCGTCCGTAACAAATTTTCGTCGCAGTTTTCTCTGCAACTACTCATCGTAAATGCATGAAATTTTAACACAATCTTCTCTAAGGCATGCCATATAGTGGGATACATTTTCGCTTAAATCTTATGTCAACTTCCTGTTTGTCTGTCCGTTTCATACATATGTACAAAGCAAATTTTCGTCGCAGTTTTCTCAACAACTACTCATCGTAGATGCTTGAAATTTTAACACAATCTTCTCTGAGCCATGCCGTATGGGATACATTTTCGCTTAAATCCGATGTCAACTTCCTGTTTGTCTGTGCGTTTGTCCGTTTTATAAATAACATTTTTTGTCGCAGTTTTCTCAGCAACTACTCATTGTAGTTAATTTTGATATGAATCTGATGTCAACTTCATATTTTTCTGTGCATCTGCCTGTAATTGAACTTGTGTATACATGTATTAACATGGTAGTGCTTATTTACATCAGAGCGGGGGTATTACTAGTGAGCAATGGCTCACAGATTTCTTGCTATATTTTCAATGGGCACTCCCCCCACCCCCACTATATGTTAATGATACAAAAATATCAACAATTTTGAAAAATTCCAATTATGTCCATTATTAATTTTATATAAAATATCTTCAATTAAACAAAGAAAAGGGTTATGATTTTGTTATTTTCAGGAGAAAGCAGAAATTTTCAAGATGATTGAAAGAACATTCCGAGCCACTTGCTTCGTCGTATTGTTGTTATTCTATTGTCCAGGTGCTGGAGGAGAAGGTAAAATTACACACAAATAATAAACACGCATTAATCTTTCTTTTGAAATTAAAAGTAAAAATAACAACCATAAAATAATTCTTTAGTTTAAATCGCTAACGGGAGGACCATCTGAATTTGAGGTTTTGCGAATGGTGGTATTTTTTCCGAGTCAGATTATTTATTTTCATATCGGTGAAGGACGGGTTATTTATTTCCAATAAACTATAATATCAAGTAGAAACAAACAATTTTTTAAAGAAGCCCAGGGGCCTTGAATCGCTCTTCAGAAGCATTATACAATCTATTACTTCTGTTTGATGACTCTTAGTATCTAGTATATTTGAATAAAGCCTTGAAATTCCAAAAGTAGGTCAAATGGCGTATATTTTGATAAAAACACTCTGAGAGCCCACGATAATCAACTAACAAAGTGTGTGGATTTATGCTCCCCTTTTATCTGAAATATAAAGATATTACCGAGAATTCAAAACTAGGTCAGTGACCTACGTTTGGCATTGATTAACATACTCTAAGACCCCAAAATGCTTCAAATGACAAAATATCTTTAGACTCTTATTATATAAAATATTCAAACATTGCTTTGAAATTCCACAAGTAGGTTAAAGGATGCAATATTTGAAAAAAGGTGGGTTTTTGCCATCCAGGGCCTTGAATATTTGAATACAATTATAAAAAGGGTAATGCCTTCAATATTTTTTTTAAAAATCTTTAACATATCCTTATCCTTGTATGTAAGTTTTGTCATAATCTGTTTTGTGGTTCTTGTGAAGAATTTATTTTTTTTACAACCAGTACTGTTAGTTCTATGAACCTAATTACTCCGCTAAGTTACAAGGTGAAATATCTAGTTTTAGTATGAACGAGAGCCCTTGCGCCAAGGATATCTTTTTTTGCCAAATTTGACAAAATTGGCCAAGGGGTTCTAGAGTTGTGACCCATATTCTAAAATAATTTTGCACACTGTAAAAATGGCCATACCATTAGCTCTTTGAGCCTTTTTCAAAAATCTCCACAACTCTCATTTATGGGGGGAGAGGGTTTTTTTAACACCACTGGTCAGGTACAAATTATATCTTCGTCCAAGTCGAGGACATATTATTTACTTTCAACATTTTAGAGGACAGATTATTTATTTCTTAAATCTATCAGCCCCCTCCCCAAAAACCAGTTGTCGTTCTTTAACACCTTAAATACCCTAGTTCAATTTAGGAAATAAAACAAAACAAAGTAATAAAACAAAACAAAAAATATGATATTTTAAAACACTAAACGAACGTTTTAAGCATTTAAAAACCCAATTGTGCCATCCTTACAACGTCGATGGTCTTTATACTGTAAGTTCCTTTGAGCGAGCCCTCTTAGGTTGAAACGCCATTTTAGTCCCAAATATTCTGAATCAAATTCACTTAATACTGATAAATCACTGTGTATAATACAACATACGATACTGTTGACGGAGTGTACTTACACCTCGAGGCAACGAGAGTGCCAAATATGTATCCTTTCTTTAAACATAAATTGTTTGTCAATTTATCAAATTTCTACTAATTTATTTACAAACTTATTAAGCCATAATAGAAACATGTCTTGTCCACGTTCTTTTTCATCATTGCGTTCATATCTCCAATTACACCGAATGTTTTTCTTCAATAAGCACATTTGCTTTCCAGCGAAATATATACATCTAAAATGCAGATTTCAAACGCTCTGGCATATGTGCCATCTTCCCATCGGGTAGAGGATACTCTTTTCACGATTTATATAGATCTGAATGTGTTGTTATACCCGATGACATTAAAACTCTTAATGAAATCACCAAAGCATATGGAATCCGGATAGGGCCACGCAGTTCACTATCGCATCATCGAAGTTTGGGTCGATAATGCGATGACGATGACGCGAAGCCGGTGATGCGATGGCGCGACAATGCGATGACGATGAGGCGATAGTACAATGAAGTGATTGCACGATGACGCGATGGTGCAATAGCGATGACACGATAATGCGATGACGATGATGCCATGCTGCGGTGACGTTAAATGCGATATTTGTTTTCGCTCCATCGTACTATCGCACCATCGTCGTAGCATTATCGCGCCATTGTGTCATCGTCATAGTGCTATCGCTTCATCTTTATCGCACAATCGCTTCATCATTATTGCGCCATCGACCTCCAAGTCGATGCTCGATGGTGCGATAGCGAACTGCATGCCTCTATCCGGATTCGATAAAAACACTTCGACAATAAGTGGATTTTTTACGACTCAAGCGTTTGATCAACATTGATCTTCAGCTGTATGGAGAGCGTGCAGATTAAAATCGAAGTGTGAATTTCGTTATAGGAATTTTTTGGCCTGCTTTTAACCATTTACATTGTACATGTCATATTATCTCTAAAACAAGATAATGCATACAAGTGGGGAAAAAAGTAAGTAAATCTACCATTTTCAGTAACTATATGCATGTTTTTCTCTTATAGAAGAACCGTGATGGTTTGCAAAAATTAATATGGAAAAACACACACACACACACAAAAAAGAACTTTCAATGTCCTTGTTTGACATCTTTTTTCGTCTGCATTTCATTTCCGGAATTTTTATTAATTATCAACTTTTCATTTCCGACATGTTTATGTTTTCATTTCCGACATTTTTTATACAAATATGTATAATAAATGGATTTATATATAATTTATCAATATTTTCATTTTCGCTGACTAGGAAAACTATAAATTGCCGCACAGGTAAATTCCGGAAATTTAAACAAAATTATGTCGGAAATGAAATTTAAAAATTTCAGAAATGCTTTGCAGATTTCTGGAAATGAAATGCCGCGCTTTTTTCATATTTGTGCAAGATTTAGAAGAATTAAATTGTAGTATATAAAAAAATAGTACAAGTATTTATGCCTACTTTTGTGATGTTTAAAATCTTTGTCAGCTTTTCAATTTCATTCAAATTCTTTTTGTCATCATTTTAACCCTATGATACTATATTTTAAGGTCTTCCGTTTCCAACGGAAGACCTTCTACTGATTCTGAAGATTAAGATTATTCTTATTATTCTTTTTTTTGTTTTCTTCCTAGACGCCAACTTTGAGGCCTCGTATCTCACTCATTTCTCAATGGATTTTGCTCAAATTTTCAGACACTATAGACGGTAATAAACTCTTTCAGAATGTTGTCTAAAATTTCAAAAATTCACTTCCGGTTTTGAGTTATTTGCCTTTAAACGAAAAATTATAGGCTTTCATTTCCAGACAAAGGCTCAGAGACCACTAGAGCTGGAGCAGAAATTTTACTGGTTTTAGATAACAGAAGGATTGAAGTTGTGCACATCGGTTTTTGTTTTTCGATTTCTGTATTCAAAATGGCGCTATATAGGGGTCAAAAAATGGAACGCCTAAAAGAGCGAAAATTTACACATATTTTCCTTTTTATCTTGAAAACTAAAAATATTTTGTTAAGACATGTTGAACAAAAGTTGTGCATATTTGCAAGGGCTTTCATATAATACTATTCAAAAGGGGCTGGCCCCTATGTTTAGGGATTTAGAGAGCTTGAAAGTTTTTGCTTTATAACTCAAAAACGGTAAATATTTCGATCTGGATTATACGAACAAAATTGTTCTTTGACACCTTTTTGATCTGATGAGAATGTTTATTTGTTCGAATATACCGGGGATATTGCGTAACACGAAGTAGAAAGCAGGCCAGGTAAACAGGAAGCGTTTTTCAATCGGAAAGAAAGTCAGACCTCTTCATGTATATAATTTACACAAACTTCCTATCAATAATATACCCTACGGTATTTAATGTTAAATTTCTACAAAAAAGGTCTTTATACATGCTTTACGGTTCATTATTAAATTTTTTATATAACAATTTTTCTTTTTTATGAATTATTAATTAGTTTTATAGTGAACACGTCTTCATCGGAATATATTAAATCTATCTTTCTACGTTAAATATAATTATAAGTAATTTTAAGCTTTATTAATCGAATAATTCACGATCATTTAGTTGATCTCCACGTTCGCCAGCCTAGATGTGTGTAACAGTTGTGTAATCAAACGCGCCAATCCCACGCTGCCGATCGGGGTCACTTGTGTACCAGCCACCTGTTGTCGTAAACAAAGCAAGTGTCTGTGATCGTGTTTAAAATCCATTGTGTACAAAGACCTATCAATTAATAGAAAATTGTGTTTTTAATTAATCGAATCAATAAGAATACGTCACCGATCTTACATTAAACCGCAATTCCTAACACTGGTGCATAAAATCATTTTGAATTTTGATAACTTTCTTTGGCCTGTTCACGCAAAATTATTTCTCTATTCCGTGTTTATGTATTTTATCAAATTTGTAATTGAAAAGGGGCTTCGGCAAATAATTATAATTAGTGATGGAAGTCTTGAGATAGGTAATGTACTATATGTACGTTTTATTTTTACCATCACTCTTTTGTTTCTCCATTATTTTTTTAACGTGCGTGGCCAAAGAGAGCCGCAGGCATGTCGAATGTTAATAACATCGTGTACTCCAACAGTGGAAATTGGCTTTGAAATCATGTCGCCTTTTTCATATTACTGAATGACGGGTATTTTTTTTAGGTTTATAAATCCGTAAAATTTAAACGCGTAAAATTTTACATAATTTATAAAACGGCTCGTATAATTTTTTAACATGGTATGTGTAAAAGTAATGCTTATTGCTACTAAGCTCACTCCATGGAGGCTATATAATTAGTATACTGTTAGTATTTTGAACACTTTTAAGCCAATCATCAATTGGGATCATACAGGTAAATCTCAATTAACTTGTATATAAATTATACAAATATTGTCAATTAATTTATAAGTTAGACCTACCTGGTTACTCGTTTTTAGTATTTTTTAGAGACGCATAACTTCTGATAATGACCTAATAATTACAGCTCTTCCAATTAAATGTATACCCGTGTTCTCAATCTTGGACACTTTCTTCTGCTTCATATGCTT